AAAAAAGTTTCACACATATATTAACAAACCAGAGTAGTAGTGCAGAACATAGAAATGAAGAGAAAAATTAAATTCCAACGGAAGCAACTGTCCGGTGACATTTTCAGCCTGGTATGGTGAGATGCTAGTGCCTTTGAGGCAGCGTCAGTATCTGACACCATCCCATGGAGACCTAGTGGTCCATTTCTTCAGCCTTTCATAGTCTCAACTGGCTTTATCAACCGTTTTCACCCAAAATGCATTGGGCAATATGATGATTTTGCTATCTTTTTTTTTTTAAACAGCAAATCTCTTGACCCCTTTGTGGCTTACATGCATTGTCATGCTCGCAAATTTTTGTCACACCTAAAAACATAACCCAGTTCTGGAATCCTACATGTTTACCTGGGGCACTTCTTTCAAATAAAAATTCCTACTGAGTTGGAACATATACAAAGTAAAGTTCCAGCTCCCCTGCCAGCCAAACATTCAGGCTCTAACTGCCGGCATTTAGCCTAGCAGTAAGATGCCATGTAAGCAGCCTGCCTATGATCACGGAGCCCAGGAGTCACATATCTGGCCCTGGCTCTCCACTTCCCATGAATGCAGACCCCGGAGATCAGCAGTGCTGACTCACTGGATTGCTGAGACCTGAACTGAGCTCTCAGCCCTGGGCTTCATGGTTGGCATTTGAACAGTGTGCCAGAAGATGGAGGTACGCTCTCTCTCTTTCTCTTCTTCATCTCCCTCTCTTTGATTAAATACTTAAAGAAAAAAATGCATCCAATACACATAAGGTACTAAACATCACAGCTCAGCCTGGTGTACCTTAAACCTGTTCAAAACATTCACGTTATGCTACAGTTAGGGAAAAATCACTCAGTACAAAGTATATTTTACAGTAGAGCCTCCAGTGTAATTTACTGAAAATTGTACTAAATACAAACTACACACACACACAGACAGTTGCATGGGAGAGACTTTCACGTCATCTTAAAGTAAAAAAAAAAAAAAACCATTAAGTTGATCATAACCATCGTAAGTTAGGGGCCATCTGCACAACCTAGCCTATGGGATACATGGCCGGGCACAGGTTCACAAGCATTCCTCTCTGTAACTGACAAAATCGAAACTAAGGCAAAACTTGGGCCTTACTGTCCAAAGAGCCTCACTGGAAAAAGAGGATGAAAGGGACAATTCTAACGGATCCATGGGGAGTGGTGAAGACATGGGAGAAATTATTCCACGTCCTGGTTCCAGCTGTCACACCACAGCACCCTCCCCACTTAAAGTGCATTACACACACAGATAGTGAGATTTTAGGAATTTACAAAAATTTAATCCATCTTCAAGTAAGACAACATCCATTGCAGCCTCCCATGAGCCAGAATTATCTTTATTTTACAGATAAGGAATCAAAAGCTCAGAAGAGAAAAAGAAAAAAACAAACAATGAATCCAATTAGTAAAGGAGCTGTAATTCAAAGACAGATCATTCAGATGCCCAAATTCAAACATTCCACATTCCTGCCTCTTTCTATGCTGTTCTTTGGGCATCCTGAATACCAATTTGAGCTCAGTGACCCTAAACAATATCCAGTGAGTACAAATCTTCCCTTCATTAATAAACATAGAGGGTATTGATCTTGAATCACTCATGGGGTGATTCAAAAGCCTTCAAATAACCCTGATAAAATGTACTGAGAGCATAAATAGATTTTTTTTTTAGGCCACACTGCTAGAGGTTAAAACTTGCTTCTTGTAATGCTAACAACTGAGAAGCCAAATAATTGTGCTTTTTATATAACAACCTAAAAAATGTGCCTTCGATAATTGGTATTTCAGACTTGAGAGTCCTTAAGAAAAAATTAAAAACCAAAGAAGCAGCATTTCTAGGGAAATTGAGTTTTTATTCTTTTGCAAATATTCTTTCCCTCCAACAGTTGGATGTGCAACTGAGTCTCTTAGTTTTCGCTTAGAGAACTAAAGTGAACAAGGCTGTCAAGGTCAATCACTAGCACATGTTCAAGAGGTGCTCAAAACCACGGATGAGAAAAATAGATGTTTATAAGCTAAAAACAAAAGAGAAGATGAATTTGTGTGTGAAACTCATTTTCCTCAGAAGAAACACAGATACATCCTTCAACATAAGGGTGCATTCAGATGTGTTTTTCATATTAGTAGCTTATTTAATATGACAACAGGCAAGAGGCAATCCATTAAAAAGCAATTTTTCTCCTTACCGCAGGGTGTTCTATCATTTGATGTCTAGCATTCAATCAGAACACAACCATCCTTTAATATTTCATGAGCAGAAAACAACGCATTTGGACATGTAGACTTCAGAAATGGGAAAAGTTCTTTGTAAGCTTGAAAAAATGCCCAGAATGGACTCTGCAGCTGATGGTAAGAGGTGAATTCAAACCATAAACTTCCATCTTTTAAACACTGCACACACAATGCCTTACAATAGAAAGTGGGCATTCAGTAAAAGCTTTAATGCCTTATAGACACAGAGAAGTGGCTGGTCCTGACTCCTGTCACACTTTACATCCTAAGATGGTCTGACGCCTCAGGGACAGGGGATGCAAAGGGTCCAATTGTGTCATTGCAGTGTCCATGACCATCCTGGCCCATCAGAAGGACTCACTTCATTTTAATATGCAAATAAACACAGGTGTTTAGTATCAGGAATGGAAACTAACCTGACAATTCCAGGCTCTAGCTGCCCAAGGCCAGTTAAACCACAAAGTCTAACTTGAGCAAGTGCCAAGTGAATGTGGCAGAACACTTGGGGCCTTCTCTGCACTAGATCAGTAGGAGATGGAATAGGTCACCATTCAGGGTGAGCAGCCCTTGGCATCCCGGTGGCACTTGCCCTCATTCCAACCTGTTAGCACAGCCCATAGAAACAAAGTTCTGTCTTGCTTCTTCCACTGAGTACCAAGATCCTCAAAAGGCCAGCAGGGCTATGCTACACCTGCCAGAGGACAGGCTCTATGTTCTGCTATGTGCCCACTCCCTATACCCAGGCACAGAGTGAATAGGCTGTCTGCTCACTCTGACTCCTGCCACCATGTGTTCCCCAAACCCACCAGGGGGAGTCTCTCAGGCACAAATAAGTGCATGTGTACCTTGTCCATGCACATTCTGGAATGAGGCCCTCTTGAAGTTAGTTTCCTCTAGTGGAACATTATCTATTTCCAAGGGGTTCCACTCATGGCTACTACTGCAATCACCACCACAGAATGAACACATGACTCTGATCATCACCCCAAATGTTACCAAAGTATTTCTGGGTATTCTACTCTGGGAAAATGATGGGAATGGAAGAGTACAATGAGTTTGGTAAGAGATCTACCAAAACACACAGGGTCTTAAGTAGAACCCAACTTCTTCTTTAGTCCCAACTTCGTCCTTCTCCTGTGCCTCCTGACTTTTCTGGATTAACATGAAGCATGAAGACAGATGTCCTGGGACAAAGGAGAAGAGCATGGAGGATGGAAGAGCAGAGAAGAAGAGTGGGCAGTGCAGAACATGACCATGGACACAGAAATCCTAGCCCAGGAGAGTAAACTTATTCTCTACTTTCTGAAAAAATACTCAGATGGCCTCAAAATGCTTTTGAGCAAGTGACTTTCAATCTTTTCCCCTTGTGAAACTGAGATAAATACACAATAGTCACAGCTATCAGACAGAGGAATTCAGTAAGATTTGTTCGATTCAGGACTTACACACTTAAGCTGAATAAACAGTGATACTAGAGGCTGAATGTTCAATGAGTTACTTCAATTACAAAGTAGATATGAACTATCGTATCAAGGATCCATGTAAACTGAAGTCTTAACATTTAGTTAGCAAAAAAAAAAAAACCATTTAGTTAGCAATAGATCAAAGAAGATTAAGATGGAATTTCTAGGTTAAGGTGTTTGTTTTAATGTAAAAAAGGCTCTTCCTGGGGTTCATGAGTAATGAATTTTCATGGTAGATCTAGGTCAAAGCCAACTTCTTGTCCTTACCCACATCTACTAGAGATGGGTCTTAGTCAAAAAGGCTCATGACTCAGTTGTTTTCTCACTAAGCATTAAACCTTCCAGTTTATATAAGCAGTAACCTATAGTCAGTTCTACATTGTGAATAAAATTCAATGGTCCTTTCAATGAAATCATCCGACTCCTTCCCACTAATTGTTTCATACCATTTATTCTAAGCTCTCAAGCTGGTAAATGCATTCACTGTAATATCAGATACCCCCATGTTCTTCTGGTCTAAACAATCTTCTCTGGCACTCACGTTACCAGACCTCGGTGTGGAAAGATGTATATGTGATTCCTGTAGGTGTGGGTGGGAAACGTATACTTGAAAATGATTCAACATAGACCAAGAGAATGGGGACGGGTTAAATCATGCACCACCATGCGCTAAAGCCAAATTATGTCTATGAGCAAAATGCAGAAAAATTATTATCTCTTCTTTTCCTGAATGTTCTCTTATAAATCTTGTAATGAAATTAAGAAAAAGTAAAAAGCTTATTGTTGGTCAAATCTCATTTTCAGCTACTCCCTTTCTTATAGTATTCCAAGCAACAGAAACACTGAGAGCAGGAGAATTTCATTAAGGTATTCAATTTTTCTTTATAGAGAAAAATGATTTTGCAAGAAAGAAAAGAAAATGATCTATTGTTCTGTTACAAACTGGTATCTGAAAAAAAATCCATAGATCTTTTCCTTAATCCTTGACAGAGCTGTTTTAATATGTACTCCTTTTTTTTTTTTTTGTATTATTTGAAAGTCAGCCACAAAACCTGGAAATTTTTTCCATTCCTGTAGGCTCTAGAAATGCTCCTATCCAGAGTCGACTATAGAAATACATATAATACAAACTCGAGTCAGAGTGGACTCTGCAATGATGACCACATGGAACTATCAGAACTGTGGGGATTCTTTGTGCATCCTGGGGCACAACACTGGAAGCTGAGCTTCCTCCAAGCTTTGCAACCACAAGGGAAGCAGGTGTACTTACGCAGCTCGCCCACTCTCAAGATCTCACACAGCATCTTGGTCAGCTCTATACTACTGCGGCCAAAGGGACATTCATGCTTATCTTCTCTGCTGCTGTTCTCAAGCACAATCTGCAAAGGAAAAGGAAGTCAGGAAGGGAGTTGAGTGTTTGAAAACATCAGAAATGTGGCTCCACTTCAATAAGGGCTAAAGGATACAGACATCTATCTCTTCCAGATCCCTGAACACAGATTTTTTTGTGTGTGTATGCCCAAGACAAAATAGTACACTATGAAAACAGGACCTAAGATTCCCACATTTTTCAAAATTCCCATAATGATTTTAAGCTTTCTTATTAGTGGCTATTTGCAGGGAAATGCCTGTGGAGTTTTTCAAAAGGTCTCTTTACCTAAGTTCCTGTTATCTTTTATCTTCCCAGCATTTATGTTCCTTTCCTAGGAGGAGGAGCTGTCCCCCCATCCTGTTCCCCAGGAGTATCACCTGGCATGTCCGCTGAGCTCTACCCCAGCATTTGGATCATACACTTCCTGCAGGTGTGTCTGGCTTCTCACACGGTCTCACAATCCCTGGCTTTGTTTGAATCATGTCTGGGGGAACATGTGATACAAGACACCCAAGTCTCTTCCTGAGGCTTCTCATATCAAAGTGAGAAAACTGGACCCCTGCGCTGATAGTGCCTGCCCACCACAGATGGCTCAGGTGTTACAGGCAAGTAAAAATTTATATATGCAAAGGTAACGGACAGGAGAGACAGCTTAGGTGGGCAGCATAACTGCTTCCCTGTCCTCATGGTCTGCTTGTTCTATAAGTCTCCTAAAATTTCCTCTGTCCATTTAATAAATTCACATCTTTCCTTAAGCTGGTCTGAGCTATCTCGATGCTTATTTCTAAGGGAATAATTCCTCCACTTCAAATTTGTACATCCTGAAAAAGAACAATAATTGAGAAGGTTTCTGGTATCACAAAAGAACCAATTTTCCCATGGCTGAAGCTGTTCCCCAAACTCTTGCCCAGTAACTGTTGCCTGGCACCTGCTTACCAATTGCATACCCTGAACCTTGACCTCCCAGTAGCATCTACAATGATGCTGCCTAGTGACTTAATGCTGTCACCTCTTCTGGGCCATGAAGTCTTTGGTGGCAGGGATGACGTTACTTAATCAACAGCATTAATTGAGCACCTATTATCTTCCAGGAAGACAGCTCGGCACCATAAAATGAGAAACAAGATGAAAAAGGGTCCTGAACTCCCTGAACACTCATTCTAATTAAAGGAGACAGAACAACAACAAAACAGATACATGTAATTTATTACAGGGGCTAGGGAAAAAAATACACTTGGCCGAGATGATAAAAATAACAGGGTAGTCTTGGGATGGCCAGAGCTTAAGAGAAGGTTGTATGACATTGGAGAAAGAAAAACTAGCTATGTGAAGGGCTGTGAAATAGCATTTCTAATTCCCAGCAAAGGAGCAAGGTCAGAGGCTGTGGGGTGCAGAAGGGGTGTTCTGGAGAGAACAGCTCACTGCCTAGTCCACAACGTGACAGTGTCCAGGGTCCTTGTCACGCAGGGCAGCAGTTAGGGTTCCAGAATCCCGAAACAAGTAGGCAGAAGACTTGAGACATTCAAGTGCAAGAAAGCAGACAGAAGAGAAAATGATAAGAAAGGAAAAATGTTAAGAGATAAAAGGAAGAAAATTTGGAAGGGAAGAGAGGAAGTGAATGTCAGTACTATTGGCAGTATATAATTAGTACAGTAGCAACAGCTGTTCGATCTAGTTAAGTACTTTCAAATGGAAAAGGTAGAATTTTAGTAAAGGTGCTCCACACCCTTCTCTTTCTCTCTCTCAGACACAGACACACACACACACACACACACACACACACACACACACACACACACACACTCACTCCCTCTCTCCAGGCCAAAAAGCTCACCAACAACGTGTATTATGAAAATATTTGACCCAGGTGTCAACATTTTTGGATCAATATAAACCTCTCTTAACTTTCCGAAGTAACCTCATACACATCCATATGGTGATATATATCCAGTTCTCTGAACACAGGCAACTGCTCCCATTTGGAAACAGCATTGCATCTTTAATCTAGCTGCACTAACAACATAAATAAATAATCTGTTCTTTCACTCCACATACCACGGCAGCGTGCATAGCTGTCATCATTATTACTTTATCACCCTCAGGACAGTCCAACGAGGCCATGAATCATCCCATTTTGTGGAGCTTTTCAACTGCTTACAGCATATGTTCCCATCAATAACCATGCATTGAAGATTATGACGAACAGAACTGCTCCATCTTTGGGTTCTCTTTCAGGAAGACATGTCCTGGGTTGTTTTTGTCCTTGAGAAAGTTGCCTGGAAAACTCCAGCTAAACCCCTGCTTGTGCTGAGCACGGAACACCCATTACTGGAGTCTGCAAGAGCTCAGACTGCTGCACGCCCCTTCTTCACAGTAGGCCTGAGTGAGGATGGTGTCACTGGACCCGACTCCCTCTCTCCTTTTTAAGAGAACCCTTTCTGGAGTGGCCACAATGGCTCAACTAGCCAATCTTCCACCTGGAAGTGCCAGCACTTCAGATGAGTGCCAGTGCACGTCCCAGCTGCTCCACTTCCCATCCAGCTCCCTGCTTGTGGCCTGGGAGGGCAGTGGAGGATGGCCCAAAGCCTTGGAATACTGCACCCATGTGGGAAGCCTGGAATAAGCTCCTGGATCCCGAGTGGCTCAGCTCTATTGTTGCAGCTGTAGCCATTTGGGGAGCAAACCAGCAAAACACTGTTCTTTCTCTGAGAGAGAGAGAGAGAGAGAGAGAGAGAGAGAGAGAGAGAGTATGTGTGTGTGTAAATCTGCCTTTCCAATAAAAGTGAATAAATCTCTTAACAAGATAGAGAGAGCGTCCTTTCTGGTTTGACTAGGAAAGCAAGACAGGACAAATCCAAATTCCCATCAGCTAGCAAGAATTATTTCTCTTGTAAGATTTGCGAGTCTGAGACAACTCAATCAGGCCACAGATCAGAATCTCCTTGTGACAGGAAAACAAACCAGAAGAAACGGAGCAAGCAGAGAGAAGATAAAGAGAAGACCAGAGACAGACAGTGTTCAGCCATCTCTGGGTGCCCAACTCCCAGGGAATGCATTCCCTTGTATTGCACATTAGCATCCCATTAACATTTCATGAGAACATCAATATATAATGAGGAAGTGATCTGCATACATTGTAGGTAGAATTACTGCAGCCAATAAATGCTTGGGAAACATTTCCAAGGCACGGTTTATTAGCAGACACTAAATTAAGTGATCATTTAAGAAATCAATATGATTTACAACATGTAAATCAACTTGGAGAAGTCCCTCTCTTTACCTTTTAATGTCCCATCTATCTTATCATATTTATCCACCTCTAGAAAAATAAACCCTCCTTTGTGACTCAATTCTGTAGTCAAGATAGACATAAATACTTAAGATTACTTGTGTGAGTTTTAAGTTGGCATACTCAGAATGCCTCCCAATTTCTCACATCTCACTAAATCCCAGCCCATCTCAGATGAAACTGGAGGGTTCTCTCTCATTCTCATTGTCTTTAGGGCCAATGACTGAGGCTGCTGTCAAATGTCCCTGTAGAATGAAGTTCCAGACATTGCAGGCTCCTCATGGAAGACTAGGAGCCACCCCTCATTCTCCTCTAGCCTGTGGATAAGGAACATATTAGGCCTGGCTGTGTTCAATACATGTGAGTTGAAGGCCTCCCATCTGCAGGTACCCACCCTTTCTGTGGCTCCAGGGATCACCCTGGCTTGCCATCATCATTTCAGTGTCATCTTGCCTATTTATATTCAGCAGCTTGTCCCTGGCAGGCTTTCTTCCATTTTTTGTTGAAGGTTATCCACTGGGGCCAAGTCTAATCTTGTTTACAATGCCAGCTGTGAGTCCCGGAGTGAAGCTCCAGGCTGTCTCCTATCCCCTGTGCTCTGTGGAGGCTTCCCTTCCATGCTTACCCGGAGTCAGGTGAGGCATAGCGGTCTCCTTCCAGCAGGCAAAGCAGTGCTGTGTCCTCCCAGGGAGAGGGGCTAGTGGGTCTTGCCCAGGTCTGACACACAGCTGTTACACAGGGGGTACGGACAGCGTGGAGACCCTGAGCAAACATTCCGTTAACAAGTGAAGGCTTGCACCACCATTGCATCTCTGTGAGACATGTAGACGCTCACAGGGCTGCTGTGCTCAGTAAGTACACAGAAGCACGGCAGACTCACCTGAAACAGACTCCACGGGGTTTATTATATAAGTATCATATTGAAATTGCTCTCTTGTGCGTGCTCTCTCCCTCTGGCTAGTCCTGTGTGACTATTGGGCAACACTTCACACAGCACTTTAACCTGCAACTATCCCAGAGCCATGGCAGTCAGACGGACTGGCTCTCTGAGCAGGATCCTCCAGGAACACCGGAATCTAAGCCAGGGAGGCCTTCAGGCTCTCTAACCATGAGGGACCCGCAGAGAAAGCAACAGGCACTAGGAGACACTGGAAATGTCAGATAGGAGGTTCCGGGCACTCACACTCAAGCGAGGCTCTCCCACGGAGGGCTTCAGGGAAGTGTAGACAGCATGAACCCTGAAGACCAGGCTGCGGCACCTTGAGTCTGGCAATCTGGTCCCATTTCTCAGTAGCTGCAGTGACCTCAGGCCCCTTTCCTCGTCAACCCCACGAGCCTATAAACCTGTCTTCTGACGCTAAGGAGAGGAGCCAGGCATATTCCACGTTAAGCCAATCAACCAATCAACAGAACAAGATCCACCTACAGCCTATCAAGGGTGGCTCCATTAGAAACAGGTGAGGAAATGATCAGCGGGAAGCCCTGAATCACATGAAGGGGGCTAGGAGTGGAGCCAGTGAACAAAGGAGCTCGGAGGCTTCCAACTGTTTCTGCTTCTAGCCCTGCACCCTAACTCCACCCCCTCACCTACCAATCTACTGTGCTTACTTTCTCATGCTGTTCCTAAGTGTCCTCTACTGTGAAGACATCATGAACTGGCTCTACACTGAGCTTCAAACAGGTTCACCAGGAAAATCTTCCCAGAAGACATTGCACAC